CAGAAACATAATGAGGAATTAGTAACAGCGTCCTGGGAATTCTTTAGCCTCCTAAAGTTTTTGCTTAAATCCAAAGTTCTGCTTGGTAGCCCGGTTGGCAAGTGTGATTCATGAATCCTCCCAACCATTTACCCCCAGAGTCACCTCATCTCTCTCGTGCTACAACAGCAAAGCCGAGTGTTTATCGCGTTCCACAGAATGAGGTGTCTGCTCTGGTAACAATTCCATTATTCCCGCTGAGTCCTTGATTTATTCTAGCTATTATTCTAATTATTTTCTCCAACCACCTGCTACGTGAGGCACTGCGGATCGGTCTTATCTGTTACGCTCGCATTTGCCAACACTAAGTAGCAGTGTGTGTACGCGTACGCTACCTGACACTCCTGGCACAACCACACGGGTGGTGGGAGGAAGCAGAGCGTACTCCCTCCCTGCAGCGTTTTCCCATATGTGGAACGGGGTGGAAAGACCTGAAGTAGAAAGGAAATCCTCCGAGGCTATAAAAAGAATCAATAATAAGGGAAGAAAAGAGGCGTCGTGGGGGAAGGAAAGGGGAAGCGCAGCGTAACTGGGACACGGGACTAGTACATCCACTCTGCTTAAAAAAAAGGAACTGTAATAAACGTTACGGTGAAAGCAGGCAAAAAGTCAGTCACCTGCCACTTACTGTGAAAAAGAACAAATATTTATAACGAAAGAGCTATCTGCTATACTCACTCCTACCAACAAATTAAAGTTTTGAACTATTATTAATAAACTCTCTAGGAAAGCCATACACACACACACAACTTTGAAAAAACCTCGATACGCTTGCAAAAGAGTAACTGACGGGCATCCTAGCTGCTGGATGGAAGCAGCGGGAAACGCTTCGAAATCAATAGGTCAGAAGGGACAGAAGCAACGTTACTCCTGAAACCATAATTACCTGTTCAATTTGAAGAAGCACCCAGTATTTTTAGTACGCAGTCAGCACAATCAGCAAGTTATTATCTTCCCAGGAGAAGCCCCTCTATTTAATATATCAACTGGTAATGAAGGCAAGGTGCTTAGACCTCCTGCTAAAGTCATTTTGGTTCCTTTTTGTCCTACCTTTCCCTGGTCTGAAAAGCAGGGTGGCTAGAAAGGAGGTTAGTATCACAACAAATAACTTATTTTTTTTCCAAAATGATTTAGAACTACTACAAAATCAAAAATCTGTAAGGATCCTTGAGAATCCGCAGGTGTCTTTGCCCCAAAAAGTCAGAGGTATCTTATAGGAAGATTATATATTTTTGTGAACTAGAAGAACGCTGCATAAAAGAGCACTACTGCTGCTCCTGAACAGCTTAATCCTGTTGCAAGAACACAACAGATGCTTCTCCACTTGGTTCCTCTCTTTCACATTATTTTTGTGTAGCAGAAGTGTCTAAATATTTGCCAGCATGGACTAACAGTTATACAGCACAACATATAAATAAGTTGGTTTAATAACTCAAAAACCACGATAGAAGATTTTAAGGTAGCGGGCTATCTAGCTGAGGCACCAGGAAAGAAGGAATTACCATCTGATGAGTACTTCTATTATGTTCACCAGTGCAGAGCTCCGGGGGAAAAAAAACCCAGAAGGTTGTTTTTACCCTCTGTTCTCTCCTATTTAAGACAAAGGATCTTTTAAAAATAAATTATAAAGCATTTAAGATGGGACGAGAAAGGCAGAGGAGAAGGCAAAAGGAAGAGGATAGCGGTCTCTTGTTTACCATTCCATCTTGAAACATGTCACAGTGGATTCCATCTTGAAACATGTCACAGTGATCCACAACCTCTCCGCTCTCATTCCCTGCAGCTCCATTTTCTGAAACGCGCAGCGATCACTTAGCCGGGCATCAACTCTGCCGCTGCCTCTTTCCCACAGGTCTTTCCTCACGTGCTGTGGGGACCCTCCGCACCTCTCTAACACAGGCATTTTTGATTCCTTCTTCTCTCCTTGCTCATACTTCCTTCTCTTTAAAACAACACAGGTATAATTCTTCTCCACGTTGATGTGATCTATCACCTCTTCCCCACCAGCCCGCCTCTCCGACTCCCATTTTTCTTCCTCGCTCTGCAGCATTCACATTACTTCTTGAGGGCTTCATCCTCCACACTGATTACTCATCCTCCAACTCCTCATCTGTATGTTCACCGGCATCAAATCTTAAATGCGATCTGCGAGTCCTGCTTCAAATTTCTGAAGCCATTAACAGGGCTGTCACTTGAGCTGGGCTTCACCCCACCACCCTCTCTCTATTCCTGAAGTCCCCCTCTTAAACTATCACCTCGTTTTCTTCTTCCCTTGCTTAGCATTTCTCTTTCCTGGCCCTCCAGCCAGCCTTTTGGCCAGTTCCAAGCCTCTCATCCCAAAATTCTGATCTTATCTTACCCCTTCCTTCTTTAAAATGAAAAAATTCATAATTCTCTTTGGGCCTTATTCTCCTCTACTCTCACTTTGCTCATCCTTCCCCATCATAACATGCAAATTCCTTCCCGCCGTGTTCCAGACCCGGCCCACCATCAACACTGGGCTTCCCAGCTCCTAAAGCCAAGAGACTTCTCTGGCAGAAAGAGTCTACCAGGTTGACCTCATCTCTTCTGTTTTCTCCTTCTCTTGCTTTTCCATGCTCAACTATTTTCCCAGCTTTCTTTTAATCCCCCCCTCTCACAATTCCAGCCTTTCGTCATATATTTGTCTTCTCCTTCTGCAAACTTTGCCTTCTGCCTCTTCTGTTTCTGCAAAAAATATCATTAATAAATGGACAAAACACAGCATGGCGTTACCCTTCCCGTAACAGGCAAGGGACCCGCTGCCCTGCAGAAACTGGAGGCAGTTCAGCATCGCTTGAAGTGATACCTTTTAAAAAGGCTCCTAAAATCTCCTACAATGAAACAGGAGCAACTCCAGACCCGACAGTGGAAAGGCCTGAGCCATTAATCCTGAATAAGCAGCAAAGAATAATAATCACAAAGCGCTTTCTGTAGAAGCTTGTGATTCTGCCTTAAATAATTCCTCCCTCTTCAGTTTCACATCTTGCAAACACCTTAGATGATTGTCTCTTCTCTGCTGGGTATAACCCAGGGTTAGATCTTTAAAATCTTTTAGTCAGGATTTCTATTCTTCCACCACAAATTCTCTCCAGCCTAATACTACTTCAGTAATGACAGGCCCGTAACGAACCCAGAACTAGAGCTGCAACTTCATGAGATATTGAGGAAGCCGCGTGGGTTTTACCGTACTCCGCAGCACAAGTAATTGTACGAAAACAATTGGGAGTTGGACTAGATGATCTCTAGAGGTCCCTTCCCACTCTGAAAATTCTGTGATTCTGTGAAAACCCAGCTAATATTTCCACCCTCCATCTCCTTCAGCATTGTAAGCAAATAATCCAGGAGCAACAGAGCCTGGGGCAGGAATTTTGAGTTAACTTTCAGCTCTGTCGCTGACTTCCCCTCTAGTTATGTGCCCATCACTTTGCGCCAGCCTTTGTCCCACAAACACAATACTTGATGAGTAGTGCAACATTATGTTTACGAGGAGCTCAAGGAATTCTGCACAAAACCCCTTACAAAAATTACCTACCACAGTTTTCAGAATTTCCTTCGTGTACTGTACAGCTGCGTTTTCAATTGCTTCTTTCGAGCCGTGCCTCTTTGCCGCGTATCAAGATAAACCATTGCTTTCTGCCTCTACTTCTAATCAATATATTCCATCGCATCGATAGCTTTTTAGTGCCGGAAAGCCCCAGTCTGACCCTGCACAGAAATATACCCCGTATCCTGGGCTGCATCAGAAGAAGTGTGGCCAGCAGGGCGAGGGAGGGGGTTCTGCCCCTCTACTCCACTCTGGGGAGACCCCACCTGGAGTACTGCATCCAGCTCTGGAGTCCTCAACATAGGAAAGACATGGACCTGCTGGAGCGTGTCCAGAGGAGAGCCACGAGGATGATGCGAGGGCTGGAGCACCTCTGCTATGAGGAGAGGCTGAGAGAGTTGGGGCTGTTCAGCCTGGAGAAGAGAAGGCTCCGGGGAGATCTTATTGCCGCCTTCCAGTGCCTAAAGGGGCTCCAGGAGAGCTGGGGAGGGACTTTTTACTGGGGCATGGAGTGACAGGACGAGGGGGAATGGCTCTAAACTGGAAGAGGGCAGGTTTAGATTAAACATGAGGCAGAAGTTTTTCCCTGTGAGGGTGGTGAGGCAGTGGCACAGGTTGCCCAGAGAGGTTGTGGAGGCCCCATCCCTGGAGGTGTTCAAGGCCAGGCTGGAGGTGGCCTTGGGCAACCTGGGCTGGTGGGAGGTGTCCCTGCCCAGGGCAGGGGGGTTGGAACTCAAAGATCGTCAAGATCCCTTCCAACCCAAACCATTCTATGATTCTATAATTATGACTCCAATTTCTGCACTACTTTAAAAAGAGGACCAATTTTGACTTAAAAAAAATTAAATAATGAAAAAAAAAAATCTACCATGCTACCAGATAGTGGTTAACTCCCTACACTGTTTGTCATTTGCTCTCTTCTCATTTCAATTTCTCTAGAAATAATTTCATATTTTCTTCCACATCATTGATAAAGATATTGAATAGCACTGAGCCAAGAACAGAGACGCTATATAATACACCTATACACTCTATTTTGCAATTAATTACCTTTGAGATAGTATGCTTTTAACTTTGAATCACGCACTATTCTAAAGCCAAGGAAAGAAAGCCACCTCGGAAAAAAGTAAGAGCCCTAGTTAATATTGGAAGAGCTATATTCCACAGAGACCCGAGTGACTCAGTCTTTCATGAGGCAAGGATATAATTTTCTGGATGAAGTAGTTCGACAAATCTTTCTCACCCTCCACCTTCAAAAATGAATTTTAAATTATTTGTCCTTAAGAAACAACTCTGGCCGGGATCATAACTAATAGCTGAGCTGAGAAAGAGAAGTGGCGTTAGATGAAAAAGCTGGAACACGCTAGAACTCCCAGTTATTTTAAGCCATACTCACAACAAACTGGTCCATGTCCCTTTCAAGCCCCATGTTTGGTAGATCAGGCATCATGTGCGCCACCACTTTAAACCCGGCGTCCTTGGCTAAGTGAAAGGACTCGCACACAGCCTTCACGGTGTGACCTCTGGGAAGAGAGAGAAGAGATTCAGGATCACACAGAAAAAGACATACTTTGCTACGTTTAATTGAGTTTATTCTCTAGGAAGTGAGAAGGGTTGAGTTTTATTATCAGTTTATCACCACTCAAGTCTTGGAACATGGTTGCTAATAAAGTAAACTACACCAGGGGCTACAAGCAGTCCAATCTGCTGCTTCTATAGCAGGTGAACCCTAGCAAGGCCACAGCTCTTCAAAGCACAGCCTGAGAAACCTCGGAAAGCTGCTGAAATTCAATTTGTAAAGCAACGACACAAGCTGATGCCCCAGCACACGCCAGGACACGCTGCGCTGAAGACTGTGTACAATCAAAATGAAGCATAACTAGAAACGAAAGCACCAAAAGAGCAAAAGGAGGAGGATGTGGGCTATGTAAAACCAGCTAGCTAGAAAATCATCCTGCAACATGCTTGCCGAACTCTCAAGTACTCCCTTTAGAGAAACACAAACTCTTCCCAACTTCTGAGAGGTGCCAAACCTCCAAAACATAGGCTGCATTGGGAGTCTTGAAGGATTTCATGTTCTTCTCCACCGACATCAAACCAAAGTAACGGAGGCTCACTCTGCAGGAGCTCGGTGAGAGTGGGAGCGCGAACCATTGCAGGAACAAAGGTTGAACCTCACCTAACTCATTAGCCTCAAGCAAACTCCTCTCTGATTCCACCTCCACAGTTCAGGATCTGCCTTCTGTCTCCACAACAGCAATCACTATTGCTACAAACAGCTACTAGGAGGTCCCCATCACATGTGACCAGTCTTCCCACAAGGTCCTTGTCTTGCTCTTCCCCATCTGGGAGGGCTCTTCCACTACTGGTTGACATTTCTGGACACCTCCATCCTCTCAGCATCTGCCACCTCCTTTCCGTTTTCTTCCCACCGCACTTTCACGCCAGTTCACCCCGTCTTTTGGAATTCTTTGACAACAGATTAGCTCAGCAGGTGACTCTTCTCCTCGATAGTCCTTTGGATGAAAAATTAACGCCATCTGGACAAACGCACGCCTTCTGACGAGACCTAATGTTAACCAAACCAAACAGCTACTTCCCTTGTTTTAAGGACCTCTTCCTTCCTCTCGACTGGAAGATTCTGCCTCTGTTAAATCCCTACACGTAGTTTTAAAACTACAGTTTTATTTATGATTTTTTTCAGAAGTATTACGGCGTTTTTCTGAGACTGTTCAAGGACAGTATTACTCAAGACCCTGAGTAGCCTGAGGGGAGTAAATGGAGACTTGCTTCATAAATAAAAATTATTTTCTTATTAGAAGTGGAATTTGAGCTGCATCAATAACTTGATTATTTGATGCCTAGATCTGTTCTTGAATATTTTTCTGCCTCACAGCCACCAAAAGCACTCAAAAACCTCACTAATGACTTATGGAACATAATAGAAAGTAATTTCCAAACAGTTAGCCTAATTGGTTGTAATCTGACATTTTGCTACAAGCAAAATATTAAAAGTTTGAAAGCCAAAACACATCCCCCACAAAGTAGGAGAGGAACAGAAGCAAAATGAGGTCATTTCAAAAGCAAGAGAAACTTGAATTACCCTTCTCTCAAAGTGTATTCCAATTCATTGTTCTAAAAAGTTGGAGGGGGATATTCGAGTGAACAGCCTGCGCTTTCCCTGCTCCGAGACAGCCTGCAGCAAAGCCTTTTAGGAATTCCGCAAGCCGCTTTGAAAAGTGCCAAAAAAACTTTACAAATACGATTCTACACAGAATTACTTCTTAGGGAAATCAAGTCAGTAATCTACTACTTCATTCTTCTTCCGATTCATCAGCAGGAAAGCAAAGTTTTATTAGCAAATGTACAAGCCAAAAGCGACACACGGCTTTGAATGATTTACGGTGGTAGTTCGGATGTGACAGACAACACTGGAGGAAAACCGAAGACGACTGAAGCGATAGCTCAGTGGGGTTTTACGGTTCCACCTCAGGATGGGATAACTTTAAAAGACTTGAGGCAAAAGAAAGATTTTAAAAGCTGAAGGGAAATTAATTGTTAAATTTACAATCTGTGTCAGAATTAACCGTCAATGAATACATCTAGTCTAAGAGTGAGATGTAGCTATACTCCTTAGAATGGATCTTTTCCTTTGGAACGCTCTGACATCTAGAGGAGGAAAGTACCACCTCTAAATATTAGCTCTTAACTCCAGGACAACTCAAGAAATGGGTTTTCCCATCTACTGAGACCTGAAGCCTGACCATTTCATAGCAGCGACATCCTGTACTTCCACGCACCAGCAATACTACAGCTAAAGCCGCAGGAGGAAACTCATTTGGGATTCTTTAAACCTCTAAAAGAAAATGTCCAACATTTTCAGTTTTGCACTACTGCCTTTAAGGTAGGTATTAACAAAAATGTGCTTTGCTTATTGAACCATAATCTCTCTGTCATTATGTGTGATTATGGTTATTAAACATCTTTGGAAGGTGACTGGAATATGCAATAAGAACGAACGCAAGTTGTATGAGTGTCAGAAGTGAAAAAACAAGACAAAAAAAGTCACTTCTTTCAAAATCTGAGCAGAATTATGAGACTTGCAATAAAATAAAAAAAAAAAAAAAAGAGATTGGCTTGCTTGCCTGTAAGGGGTGAGATGAACAATGTATTGTACACTCTCCTACGTAGGACAACTGTTCTTTTAGCCATAGGTCCAATATGACAAGGAATAAATCACAGGCCTCTTGCGAATATATTTTGCAATCCCTAGAGATACTGTACGCCTGGAATGACTGTGGTTAATCTATCAACAGGCGATGTTTCTGGCTGTGCCTCACCCTCTGTACCTGCCAATGTCATCTCTCCTCTCTAATACTCAGCAGAAGGTGGTGTATGTTGCGGAGAACATGCTGTTTGCTGGTAAAGTACCTCCACCGGATTATATTGCATTGTATCTACTCAAGGGAGGACAAGAAGTATGAGCTCTCTCTGGGCACATGTTCTACTTCAGAAACCTGCATTTATTTACAAAGCAATAAGAAAAAAAAAAAAAGATATGTACAACACAGGAAAGTAATACGATTTTAAAATAAAACATCACAAATAACCCCATTTTCTCAAGCCATGGTCTACCCAATATCACATAGAAATCCACGAAGCCAGTGCAGTTTATTAGTTTTTCTTAACAGACTTAACAGCCACACAGGCAAGGAAATGAGCTAAATGGCTCTACATTCTACGTTAAATGGGTGTTCAAGCAAACAGGTCAAGACCTGCTGCTCAAGAGTATTCCAGAAAGCATACAGTGAGCAGCCACGCTCAGCTTCGCCCTGAAGCTTTCTTCTCACCTGTTGGTGTCCCTGGCCACGTCCTCGTACACGCTCTGCACTCCGATCTCCAGCCTCGTACAGCCATAGGATAACATGTCACTTAAATGCCGCTTCAGGCAGTAATCTGGTCTGGTCTCTATCGTTATCCCAATGCATTTTGTCAGGCTTCGTTCTGAGTACCTGCGAAAAATCCATCCTCCGTTAAAACCCTGAAGTTGTCACAAGCGACTTCAGAAAAGTTTCCAACGTCTTCCAGGTGAGAGTTTCTATGTCACTACCAGAATTAAAATCCTGGTTAAAACCCTCAAAAATCCCAGCAGCAAGGGAACCCTCAACCTTATTGCAATGCATGGATGAAACGATACACAAATATGCACACAATTACGAGTCTGGGGTTTGCTTTCTACAAAAGAGAACTGGACTGTGACAGCCTTGCGGGGCTTTTCTAAAGAGTCCGTGTTAGGAAGATGCTCCTGGACCAGACTGAGCCTTCAGTACTCGTCTGGAAACAAAGCTTGGGCAAAAGGGAAAGTCAGAGCAGGCAACGAGAACCGTGCTCACGTGTGGGGACAAACCAAAGCCACTCTGAGCACTTGCTCCCTCTCAGACACCAACAGTAACACAGGACCTCACGTTAGGGAGAGTTTGGTATAGTCGGTACATTTTCATTTGATTCCCACGGTGTACAGACAAATTGCAGGACCTGGGACAAGATCCAGCTGCGTTCTCAACAAGAAAACGTACCAGACTGTCTATGAAAAATTCTACAAATCACATCCCTTTGTGAGCATGTGGCACGCTCTCAACTTCATTGAAGTCTAACACTGAAACAAAATTCATTGTTAACCTTTTTCGCCCTCCTCTCCCATTTATCACTGGATGTCTACCAGAGACTAATTATTCCAGCTAGTAGAAAAATCCTCTGCTGATGACAAATGGTAAGTTACTGACCTATGAGAGAGTAAAACAAAAGAAAAAAAAAGGAATCCAAAGCAGTCTTGAACCAAAGTTCACAAAAGGAAACCGTCAATCAACATAATCTCCACCACCATCAGCAAGGATAATACTCTTTTCCATGCAGGAATCATTTCACTTGACCGTCTTTCCTGCAGAATACGGTGGTTGTATAACAGAGGACTGCGGCACAGGAGAAAAGATTTACAGCAGGAAGAAGGAAACTTCTTCTTTTGAAACCTTTTGAAACTTCAGAGATAATCTGGATAATTCCCAAACTGGGATGTGGGCAGGATTAACAGCCACTGCTTGAGAGGAATATCAGTCTCTTTAACGGTCCCAAATGATGAAGATCTCGGTATTAACATTAAATGTTGCTGAAAAGGGGACACCTTGAGTAAGAGAGAGATGTTATGCCGATACCTGAAAGAATACTGCACACCGGAATCATAAGGATGACTAACTTCAGCTCTTTATTAGGTGTTCTATAAAGATTCATCATCCAATTTCTGGCTCCGGATAGCTGGAAGCTTCTGAATCAAAATAAAGCTCCAGAGCCTACCTTAGACCACGATGGAGGTCCAATTTAACCAAAAAAAAAACCCCACAAAACCCCACCATCCCCAACACCTCCCCCCCCCAAAAAAAACCAGCAAAACCCAAAAGTGGGCTCAGATTCACAAGCAAAAATATTAACTCCCTTCAAACTGCTAAAGCGTAAGATCTGTAAAGACCAAGATATTGGGGAGGCAAGACTGTAACGGCTGTCAAAATAGGCATCTTGAAAAAAGAAAAAACCCCACAACCCACAAACAACAAAAACGACGTAAAACATTTCAGAGTTCGTGGCTCACTAATCTGACAGATTAACAGAACAATTGTTTATCACATCAGGGAAAACATTGCCAACGTGATTCATTAACAGCAGACTGAAAAAAAAGGCTCATTTTTAAAGATGTGATTTGCAAGAATTAACGAGAGAAATTTTAACTGGGGGGAGGTGGGGTGGGGGAAATCACCAGATAACTCACCCATCGTGGTAGAGGGTATGTGTTCATATTAAGCACCTACAATCAGGCCTGAAATACTGAGGGGAGCCAAAAATAATTGTACCGCCCCCTCCACAGCAAATTTATGGCTGAGATATACAATGCAAAGGATTTCAGTTTGGTGTAACGGTTGGTAAAATTGTCCTGCCCAACTCTACGCCGTAAAGAGAAGTGTGTCTTAACGATAACTAGAAAAGCAAAACAAAAACGAACCCAAAACAGATAAAGCAACAAAGATGGCATTTGCAAGAGAAGTCATGAGCCTCTTCAAACCACCGCCCTCTGGAAGAGACATTTTCAAGTGGAGCCACAAGTCCCACAGACTTAGGGGGAGCAAACAGAGCGCAGTCTCATACTCTGTTTTATTAACATAAAATAAAAGCTTGAGTCGCGTGGTCCATATTTAATAAAGACTACCGATTCCTTTCAACTAATTGGAAAAGAGAAAGAAGCGTGTGACAGCCAACCTTCCACAGAAGGCGATTCTGGTAACACATCTCCATCATCTCCTGAATAAAGAAAGAAAAATTTGACTTTTCTTCTCTTTTCTCAAGTTTCGAAATGTAAACACTCATTTGGAGAGTCAACATTTTTCCTACCTTCAAAATAAGCAACTCTAGTTCATTTGACACCTAATACTAAAACTAAAAACAGGTACAAATTGTGAGAGAATAAGTTCAGCGGCCAAACACAGAGCACCAGCAGCGGCCACGAGTTAAAAGCTTTACCAGACTTCCGTAACCGGTCAGTTTATGGAAGGAGTTATCAAACAGTTACCCATAAAAGCTGCACCGATTATTATTATTATGCAGCACAAAGCTGCATTACACAACTAAGTTACATTTTTCATTTTTAAAAAGTCAATCTGTCAGTGTTTAACATTTAGTTTCAACATTTTTGGACGCACAGCCAGCACCTCCTTCGCTGACCAGGCCAATGGCAACCTACAAGACAGAGTTTAGATACTCGCAAAAAGCAGGAAATACTATATAAAAAATTATCTACTAAATACTGCATTTACATCAAAACAGACACTGATTATTTTTTTTTTTTAATCAAATTGGCAAGATCTCATATTTTAAAGCACCGTCAGAATCTGAGACAGATATTTACCAGTTAACAGAGAAAAAGAAAAGACAAACTGATATATGCTTAAGAGTAACACTTCTTTTTTTCCAGTGGAGAAAGTTTTTGGATTAGTTTGGTTTCTATTTTTTAAGAAATATATCTGTGAAATCTGATCCTGATTCGCGGGTCTCAAGTCAGATTTCACTAATCTGACAGATTAACAGAACAATTGTTTATCACATCAGGGAAAACATTGCCAACGTGATTCATTAACAGCAGACTGAAAAAAAAGGCTCATTTTTAAAGATGTGATTTGCAAGAATTAACGAGAGAAATTTTAACTGGGGGGAGGTGGGGTGGGGGAAATCACCAGATAACTCACCCATCGTGGTAGAGGGTATGTGTTCATATTAAGCACCTACAATCAGGCCTGAAATACTGAGGGGAGCCAAAAATAATTGTACCGCCCCCTCCACAGCAAATTTATGGCTGAGATATACAATGCAAAGGATTTCAGTTTGGTGTAACGGTTGGTAAAATTGTCCTGCCCAACTCTACGCCGTAAAGAGAAGTGTGTCTTAACGATAACTAGAAAAGCAAAACAAAAACGAACCCAAAACAGATAAAGCAACAAAGATGGCATTTGCAAGAGAAGTCATGAGCCTCTTCAAACCACCGCCCTCTGGAAGAGACATTTTCAAGTGGAGCCACAAGTCCCACAGACTTAGGGGGAGCAAACAGAGCGCAGTCTCATACTCTGTTTTATTAACATAAAATAAAAGCTTGAGTCGCGTGGTCCATATTTAATAAAGACTACCGATTCCTTTCAACTAATTGGAAAAGAGAAAGAAGCGTGTGACAGCCAACCTTCCACAGAAGGCGATTCTGGTAACACATCTCCATCATCTCCTGAATAAAGAAAGAAAAATTTGACTTTTCTTCTCTTTTCTCAAGTTTCGAAATGTAAACACTCATTTGGAGAGTCAACATTTTTCCTACCTTCAAAATAAGCAACTCTAGTTCATTTGACACCTAATACTAAAACTAAAAACAGGTACAAATTGTGAGAGAATAAGTTCAGCGGCCAAACACAGAGCACCAGCAGCGGCCACGAGTTAAAAGCTTTACCAGACTTCCGTAACCGGTCAGTTTATGGAAGGAGTTATCAAACAGTTACCCATAAAAGCTGCACCGATTATTATTATTATGCAGCACAAAGCTGCATTACACAACTAAGTTACATTTTTCATTTTTAAAAAGTCAATCTGTCAGTGTTTAACATTTAGTTTCAACATTTTTGGACGCACAGCCAGCACCTCCTTCGCTGACCAGGCCAATGGCAACCTACAAGACAGAGTTTAGATACTCGCAAAAAGCAGGAAATACTATATAAAAAATTATCTACTAAATACTACATTTACATCAAAACAGACACTGATTTTTTTTTTTTAATCAAATTGGCAAGATCTCATATTTTAAAGCACCGTCAGAATCTGAGACAGATATTTACCAGTTAACAGAGAAAAAGAAAAGACAAACTGATATATGCTTAAGAGTAACACTTCTTTTTTTTCCAGTGGAGAAAGTTTTTGGATTAGTTTGGTTTCTATTTTTTAAGAAATATATCTGTGAAATCTGATCCTGATTCGCGGGTCTCAAGTCAGATTTGATTTTTTTTTGTTATTAATCAGTGATTTATGTAACCATTTATAGTAGATTGGCTGTTTTAAGACTGACTCTGCTCATCTCCTACTTGCCGTGCCCTAGGTTTCATCGTAACTGCCCGCTGGAAACACGGTGGTTTCCCTCATTTCTAGAAGGTTGGGTAGGCACATTTTCCTCGTGGAAAATCCGTGCTGAATCCTCATGGCCGCCTTCCCCACCATGGAACAGCTTCCACAAAGACATGCTCCATAATGTTCTTGGGGACCAAGGCGAGGCCTATCAGCCTGGAGTTTTCCTTCTTGCCCTCTTGAAGACAGACATGACGTTTCCAGTCACTGGGGACCTCTCAGTTGTCACAGTCTCTCCAAGGGGAGATGGAGCTGCCTCACCCATCCACTTCCACGGATCTGCATGTGTCCCACATGCCGGTGGTACCCAAGGCAA